TTTAAAGAAGATTGTTCTCTGCCACCAAGTCACTGTAGAATGATCCCAGGAACAAGGCCCCAGGATATGGCATAATTCCATTTATGAAGGATATCTGGAAATCTTACATTCCAGGCTAATCATGGTTAACCATAAAATGAACTATCCTAAATATGGTGTATCCCCCCAAATAATCAATTTCTAACAAATCACAAACAATTCTAACATAATAAATGTGTTATTGGTATGGTTTGCTAGACCCATGAAAAAGCAAAGCAATATCCCTCTTTACCACAAACTCACCCTTTGACATTGGAAACATACTTATGATGTGTGTGATCTTTATTGCATGTTGTACAGCCCCACACTCTTTACCCCTAACTTTCTGCTCAAATGTAGTTCTGACATTGTAGACATGAAGAGAGTTTCAGACAGTTAGACTTCAAAGCTTACTCCTAGGAAATGTTTGCATCTCAATGAAATGAAATATCCAAATGTTTCCAGATATTTGGCTTATCAAGACAAAACATCCAGGGGATCATCCCCCCCAACCCCTTTGTTTTGGTGCTGAAATTCTGATGCTTGGGCATTTGCAAATATAGAACCAATGCCACCTTGCTGTCAGATGATTTTCTTTTACCTGAAGGAAATGTTTCCTTTGTCGGTAATTATTTTAAGATGGTACTGTGAAGTAAATCAGTTGGGACCAGACTGAGTGGAATTCTGAATTCCTTTTCCCTGGTTGATTGGTTGGTGTTAGAATCATATGATTCATACCTAGAAGTGACTGGAGACTTAATTTTAGTCAACCCTTTCATTTTATAGATGAATAAACTGGGTTCCAGAGAGGTGTATGACTTGCTGAAGGTCACACAGTTAGGAACCAAGCCCAGGTTCTCTCCTTTACATTTAGGTGACATTTATTTTTTACTGGTCCCTGAGGGAAAAAAAAAAATTGGGGGGGGGAAGGGAAGAGAAGAAGCATGAAAGTGTATTTGAAATGGAACTTTCTTATTATTGGGGAGAGATTGACTTTACCAACATGAAAACATCCTCATTGCCAGTTCTCTGAGCTTTGCCTTAGTGGTTCCATTAGGAACAATTGCTAGGAAGAAACATCCCATGCTTTTTTTTTCCCTCACCAGCCCTCCATTTTGTAATCCATTGGCATCTCCTTTTTCAGGCCAGGGCTGCTACTTTTATCACTGGGACCCATTGCCATTTGCCTGCTTAGTTTCTGCTCCATTTCTTTTCTGTTGACATACTGCCATGACTGCCCTGTCCCACATACTAATGACTGACTTCTTGCTGCTGCCTCCTTTGATTCACAGTGGCACATTTTCCCACGTGAAAATGGACACAGAACCTTGGCAGTAAGCTTAATGGATTTCAAAGTCATTCTGAGTTAACCTGAAAGTTACTGAAACATAGGAACCAGTAGCTAATCTCTTTTAGAGACCAAGGCATGATGATATTTTTATTCTAAAGGGTAGCAGTGCATTTCCCAGTAATGGCCACTATTGGCTGCATTTGGCATTTCTGAAAACATCCTTGCTCTCTGTTTTTCCCTGTACCTGCCAAAAGGATGGGCCAAGCAAGCTTTCACAGAAATTTCATGGTTTACTATTATCTCTCTCTTTAGTATTACTCCAGCATTTGAAACAAATAAACAGAAAGAAAATACAGCCACAGACAACTCTGTGGACCTGTTTTTAGAAACGGAGTAGGAGAAAGCACGGACTTGTGAGCAGCAAGAAATTTGAGTTCTTGGTATCGGCTTTGGAATTAGAAGACTAGCATTCACATTCTGTCTTTGATGCTTATTACCGGTGTGACCCTAGGCATATCACTTAACTTTCCTCATTATTTTCATTTATAAAATGAAAGGTTTAGGTAAGACAATCTCTTCCAGATATCTATATCTACACACCTATATCTATAGATAGATATGTTTATATAAATATCTGTGTATGTGTTTGTATATATACATACACACACACATATACTCACACATAAAAACAAATGTGAAATGTGTAAATTTAGAGTCATCTCCTTTCCAAATATTCATATGGACGATTTGTGTCTGATGTGTGGTAAAATTGGTCTGATCAGACACAGTTGGACATACTGTATATTGACCCTGACGTAGTGAGGTGATTTTGGTCATCTTAGATTACAAAGGACAACTCACAAATATCTGTATCTATATCTACATGTACATATACACATGTGTACATATACATAAATGTATACATGTATGTGCATATATACATATACATATTATACACACACATATTTGGTATGGGGTCCAAATGAGAGAGAAATTGTCATTTGCTGTTGAAAACCACATAGCATCATTGTTTTTGCCCATCAACATTTTTTTTTAGATCTGAATTCTAACTTCACTAATTAGCATTCATTACTGATGGAATTACTAGAATTATGGATTTAGAACTGGCAAGGGTCTTAAAGGTTATCTAGTCCATCCCCTTCATTTTACAGATGAGGAAACTGAGACCAAGAGAGACTAATTTACTTGCCCAAGGTCTGCCAGGAAATCAGTGGCAGAAGCCAGGCTTAGACTTTGATCCTCTGATTCTAAACCTCAGATTCATTCTGTTTCATCACACTGTCTCCCCCTATTGACTATTCAAAGTCTTCCTCCCACCTCTGCTTAAATTTACCAAATAATGGACTGATATTGGTGTTGAGATGGAGAGAATAAATAGACCCAAGGGAGAGTTTATAGGGAACATTATCTTTTTCAAGACCTCAATTAATCTGTATGAGGAGACAAGAACAGTGAATTATTAAATGTTACCACTAAAATCCTTTTACCATCCATCACCATGGACCAAACAATAAATAATAAATAGCCTATAAGTTGACAAGTAGGTGACCTCTTAATATTCTATCAGGTTTTTGTGGGAGAGGGAGCATAGAGAATAGAGAACAGATATAGAATTCAGAAAGACCCAAGTTCAAGTTTGGTTTTGACATATACTGACGTATGTGGTCCTGAGCAAATCACTTCTCAGTATCCTAGACAACTCTCTAAGACTATAAGAGAAAGTGCTGGCCTGCATTAACAGAGGAACTTCCTCATAAGAATCTTCTTGAACCAATGAAAATTGCAGCTCTAGGTTTAAAAAAAAAAAACTTCAAAGAATTTCCAGGAAACTATGGTGAGAAAGCCAGGGATTTCCTTTTCAGAATTGTAAATGGCCAATTAGTCACTGTATCTGAGGGAGCATGGGCAGGACCAAAGAATCACGCAGGGTCTCATCATCTTCATCATCTTTCCTCCAAATGGTTTGAAATAAGCTTATGCCCCCACAGTTCATAAGAGCATAGATGTCAAGGAGAGTCCTCTCAATTTACAGATAAGGAAATTGAGTCCCAGACAGCTTACATGATTTGCCCATGGTCATGAAAGTAGTCGGTAAGTGGCAGAGCTGGGATTTGAACCTAGGGCCCCAGACATCCAAATGAGCATTGTTTCTAGGTACCCTGCCTCTCCTACTACAAATATTGATATAATTACTAATGATGAACTTAAATACAAGCCAGGAAGTTTCAAAGGATGGTGGTTTGGGCCATTCTCTTGGTGGGAAAGAGGGAAGCTGATTTTCAACCTTCCAAACTGAATGGACACCAAACATTATTGTGACCACTTTACCATGGGAAGTGACCATATCCTAGCAGTAAGAATTGTGGTCTGTTATCAGAAAACCTAGCTTTTAGTCCTGGCTCTGCTATTTGTTGGCTGAGGGGCCCTGAGCAAATTGTTCATTGATTTGGGCCTCAGTTTCAAACCTTGTAAGGCCCAGGGGTTTGGAATAGATTATCTCCAAGGTCCCTTTTCTAGCTCAGCAATTCTATCTCAAGGATCCCTTGGAATAAGCCCAGACTTAGAAGTTGCCTTTGTCCCCAGGTTCAGGAAAATTTCAGGGCTTCCCTGAACAGCACCCCTGTTTTCTTCTGCACAAAGTAAGAATATTTATTGCCGCTTAGTCTTCCCTAAACACTATGTGTTTGCAATTGGCAGTTCTCCTTCAAAACCATCACCATTAAGGCAATCATTCAATCCCACATGCTCAAGAATGAGTGGGACCTATATCATCCCTTCAGCTTATATTTGTGCAAGCTCTTTGATGTCAGTGGGAATGAGTGAATTAATAAAGAACATGATGGAGTTCTTTCCATTTTGAAGGTAAAGAGGAGGGCCTGGAACCAGTCCAGTCAGGCTCTGGCCTGATATTTCCCAATAGCTGAACCTCTTGCACCTATGTAACCAGGTTAAACCAGTTTCTCTTAATTACTCTTAAACAACTTAACCCTTCCCAGCCTGTCACATTGTTCTGCCAATGGCAGATCTGTAAAAGTCAGCTGTGTTTTTTTTTTTCATAATGACATTGATGATAACGTGTACTTCTGTAACATTTTTATCTGCAAAAGTGGTTTGCAAACACTAATTAACCAGGTCTCATAACAACCCCAGGAAATGCGATTGTATTATTAGACCCATTTTCCAGGTGATAAAAATTGAGACATAAAGGAACTGTATTATGGTTCTCTGCCACTTCAAAGTAAAGTTACGGATGGGCACAAGAGACTGCTTGATGTAAGATTGTCCCACATGCCAAAGAACACCTGACGTAAGGTTGTTTTCCCAAGAATTAAAATGAAACTTCAGCAAAATACCTTCCAGCAAGTCACTTGATTTTTTTAAAGGACCTACTCTTGACTTGTTTTGCTAAAGAAACAATTTGGCATAGTAGATAGTATACTGTAGTATGGGAGATAGGGATTCAAATCCAGATTCTAGCACTTCCTGTGTAATCATGGCTAGTTCATTGTCCTTGAACCTCAGGAAACTCTTTACTTTGTGGATGCTTAATGTACTGATGTGTGAAATGTGACCCTCTCATTTCATATAAATGAGTAGATTCTGAGACATCCTTAAAGGAGACTTTCAGGTCCTCATATGTAACATACATTGTACTTGATTGTTTCCACAGGCCCGCCATCTGCTCCTCTCAACCTGATTTCTAATGTCAATGAAACATCCGTGAATCTGGAGTGGAGCAGTCCTGAGAACACGGGAGGCCGTCAGGACATTTCCTACAACGTGGTGTGTAAGAAGTGCGGTGCTGGGGATGCCAGCCGGTGTCGATCCTGCGGCAGTGGAGTCCACTATACACCCCAACAGAATGGCCTCAAGAGCACCAAAGTCTCCATTACAGACCTCCTGGCACATACTAACTATACTTTCGAAATCTGGGCTGTGAATGGGGTGTCCAGGTATAGCCCGACTCAGGACCAGTCAGTTTCAGTTACTGTGACGACGAACCAAGCAGGTAGGATCCTCTGTCTGCCTTCTGGTGTCAAATTGACATTTATTATGGGGAATGGGACATGGTGTCATCCTATCCATAGGCAATGTTCAATTTTTTCAAATGAAGTTGAACCCCATGGGTTTAATGAAAAATCTATAAGTGGTATTTCACCAGAGGCTATGGTGAATTTTTATTCAATCAGGTATAGCCTATTTATGGAAATGAGAGGAGGAACTATGTTTTCTAGGACCTCTCAATTCAATAAGACTGAGACCTAGCACTGTAAATGTAATTTTCACGAACATATATTTTTCTTCTTTGACCCTACTTTTCCCCCTACGTGAGTTAATGTGGACCCATAGTTATTAATCAAGGAAGTGGCTTTGTCAGCCTCCCTTTTATTTAGGACTGAAAACTTTCACTTTTGTTAACTTATACCAGTTTTATCTCCTTAGTCTCATGACTGGTAGCATCATAGAACTCTTCTTTCCTCTGTTACTTAAATGATTTTCTTTCTAATTAGTTCCCATCAAAAGTAGTATCTGGATGAGGTAATTCCCTAAGTGAACTTAACAGTAAATATGGTTAAATGTAGTATTTATTGTAACAGGGAAAATTTCAACAGTCACAGACCCTGGCCTGTCATGTTTTCCAAATAAAATAATTTCCATCTTTTGTGAAGCCCTTGGTAATTGAAGGCAACCTGTAACCCTGGAAAGAATGCTAGATTGGGAATTAGGGGAACTGAGTTAAAATCCTTCCTCTGTCATTTTACTACCTGGGCAAATTTAGGTAAGACCCTTATCCTCTGGGCTTCAGTGAGCAGATGAGGGGTCTTGTGTGAGGCATGTAGCAAGTTGGCCAATGTAACTGGATCACCGAGTACATATTGGGAAGCAGAGTATAAGAAGACTGGAAAAGTAGGAAAGGGCCAGGTTATGAAGGGCTTTGAATGATCTTGGAGGTGATAGGGATCTACTGCAGTTTATTAAATAGGGGAGTAACACGGTAAAATTTAGTCTTTAGGAAGATTAGTTTGATACCTGAATGGAGGATAGAGCGAAGTGAGGAGAAACTTAGAGCAGAGAGGCCAGTCAGGAGGCTACTTTAGCAATAATCCTTGCATGATATCATGAGATCCTGAACCAAGGCAGTGGTAGTATCAGAGGAGAGAAAGAGGTATATATAAAACATGTTGAAAAGGTGGAATCAAAAGGACTTGAGCTGATTGGTGGTGAGAAAGAGGAGTTGAGGATTATGTCCAAGCCTGAGTGACTGGGAGGATAGTGATGACAGTAATATGGAAGTTAGGAAGAGGGAAAGGCTGAGGGGGGGCAATAATGAGTTCAGTTTTGGAAATTTTGGGTTTAACATGTCTACAGAATAGTCAGTATGAAATGCCCAATAAGCAGATGGAGGTAAGAGACTGGAGGTTAGGAGAGAGGTTAAGGCTTGATAAGTAGACCCAATGATCAATATGGAAATGATGATTGAATCCATGGAAGCTGATAAGATAATTAAGAGACATAATACTTAGAGAGAAGGCCCAGAACACAAGGGAAGAGAATAGGCATTTATATAGTGCCTGTTATATTCCAGGCATTGTGCTAAGTGCTTCTTACTATTATTATCTCATTTGAACAGAACAGAATGTTGGGGTTCACCCACCATTGGTAGGTGTGACCTAGATGAAGATACATTGAAGGAGACCAAGAAGGAGCAATCAGGCAGGTATGAGTACAACCAGGAAAGAGTAGTGTCATGAAAACCTGGAGAGAAGAGATCATCAATGGGAAAAGGGTGACCAGCAATTACAAAGGCTGTAGAGAGGTCAAAAGGATGAGAATCAAGACAAAACCCATTAGATGTGTTGGTTAAGAGATCATGGGTAATTATGGAGAAAGCAGTTTCACTTCAATGATACAGGCTTCAAAGATTTAAGAAAGTGAGAGGAAAGTAAATGGAAGCCCTGATTAAAGATAGCATTCTTAAGGAATTTAGCTGCAAAATGGAGAAGATATATGGGATGATGGATAGTGGGAATGGATAGATCAAGTCTTGCCCCAAGAGTTAATGTTTATTATTGGTAAAATGCAGTTTTTGAACTTGAGTTCAATTGAATTGTACTCGTTTGCCCTTCCCAAGTGCAGAATCATTTATTTTTTGTCCTTAAAAATATTGTTTCATCAGATTCTCTGAGCCACAGAGTATAAGTAGTCTGAGGTGACATCGCTTCACATGGGGATGCCATCTGCAGGTTGGGAGGCAATGAGATGATCCCCCTCACTTGCCGACAGGAATGCCCAATATAACATGTTCTCTTCTGTGCGTGTTTGGGGGATGTATTGCTGTGCCTTGCAGGCTAGAATGGGAAAGCTGATCTCATTAGTTTGTCATAATGCCTTGTTCACCATGAGTGCCATTTGCTGGTGATGTTAGTTATATGTTGACCGAAGATCATGGAGACTTTACCCTACACATTCATTCAATCTAATTCAATAAGTACTGCTTCACTGCTCTGCTCAATTATATATGTTCTTTCCAATGGATTTGTGATTTCATCAATAGAAATGTTCCCTCCAAAGATACAGAATATTATCGATTTTTTGCCTGCCCATGCCTATTCATACCTTCCTGTAGTTGTGCTACACAGGGTCTATCTGGGGTATTGGGGGGGCCTTCCTTCCTTTATTTCTCTTGCCATTGGGAGGATACCATTTGGAGAAAGGAATAAAATAAAGCAATTCCTACCCTCAAGGATTTCAAGGATTCCCCTTTATAAAAGTAGAGGGAAAGGAGAAATGAAGTTGCTGCAGGAAATTTCATTTTTTTAATTAGGTAAGGGCCTCAACATATCACAAATTTTCATTTTTTGTCAAGCAATTTTTATCTATACTACTTCAATACTTAATATTGCATAGTCCATGCCATTCTTTCAATTGCAGCCAAAGTAGCCAACTAATTGTCCTCTCAACAAAACTTGCCATTTTCTGCCTTGGTGGCTTATACAAGCTGTGACCTGTGCCTGGAATTTACTCCTTTCTTACCTCTGCCTCTTAAGAATCCCTGGCTTCTTTGTGGCCCAGGGGCCACCTCCTATGTGAAGCTTATACTAATATCCTCATTTCTTTGGCTTTTTTCACCTTTATATACACTGCTCTGTGTTTTGTCTTTAAAAGAGAAGCTACAATACCTATTGTACTTACCTTACCAGGGTGTTGGGAAGCTTGATGAACTTCATGATATGTTAAAATATATATGAATTTTATATGAAATATATGAATATTATTTTATGAATTATATGGGGGAAAGTCTTTGAAAACTCTAAAATGCTATAAAACTTTGTTATTATGATGCTGTTTTTGTTGTTGTATCTTCTAGTAGAATGTAAATTACTTGAGGGCAGGAGCTGTTTTCCACCTCCCCCTACCCCCCCCCCAGAACTTAATACAGTTCTTTGCCTATAGTAGACATTTAATCAATATTTCTCAATGATTCATTCACCCATTCATTCGACAAACTTTTTTTAAGCACCTACTATGTGCCAGACTCTATACTCCATTCTGGGGATATAAAGAAAAGCAAAAGACTTCCTGTCCTCAAGGAGGTTACATTCTAATGGGAGAGACAATATATCAATAACTACATATGATACAAAGTAGATAGAAGGTACCTTTAGAGGCAAAGGCTCCTGCCTTCCTTGATGTAGATATTTTCTCCCTCAGTATATGTCAAAACTCATCCATATCTTCTCCTTAGTGATTCTCATCCATGACCTTACCCAATAAGATGAAAGCCTTCCTCAATAATTTTGGGGTTTTTTTTGTTGTTGTTTTTTACATTTCAAAGGTATCAGGTAATCACTGTGGTAGTCCATCTATTATCTTTAGCTCAGAACATAACTCCCCCTTGCACACACACCCCAAGTCCTATTCTGATTATCTTGTATTAGATGATGTCAGTTCTTGAACTTAACACAACAATGTGAGGTTGCTGACACTTACTTGTACCTGTGATTGAATCCCTCAAATCCATAAATCTATTATCTACAATTACAATATTTTTCCATTTGCTGTCCTAATGATTTTTTAGCCTTAATGTTGTATGATAGAATGATTCCAGTCAGTTTCCTAACATTTACATTTGTTGTTTCTTAGTCCAACATGTATCTCATGTGGGTTTGTTTTCTTTTTTCAACCTTTTTTCCCTCCAAACATTTTAAAAGCACTCTTTTTATTTTTCTGATAGCAAAATATTTCAAACATAAACCCTAATGTAGAATTGACACCAAGATTGAGCATAATAGCAGACTGGTGATGATAGTATTATAATGGAAATTAAATGATATTGAAGGCGTGTCTATGACAAAAGGGAGGGGGCTTCATTTTTTATAACTAGGGGGCTAAGATATTGGCATTTTTCACATGTAATTTTTTATAAAGTATTCCTGGTAGACTTTGAAGCATTTCAGTCATCTTAAGAGCAGCCAAGCCTTATATTGCCTGCTAATTGTCTTTAAATGATTTTTCTAAAATCTTTTTTTTTATCTGGAGTGTCTTGATTCATTTAGCTTAGATCAAGAATTTCTGTGTCTTTGTAGTATGGTCTTTTTAGGTGAACATCAGCCCTTGGGTGTGCCTCCCCCAAGACTCCAGAGCAATACCATTGATGATGCGTAAGAGTCATTATTGGTACAAAGATGAGAGCCACTCAATTCAGAACCTACACAGTATTAAGATTTTCTTCAGTCTTAAGAGTCTTTCCCCTAGACCCCAAGTGGTTTCTAGATTCTCTCAAGGCATTTAGGCCCAATCAGAATCTTCCTCCCATCCTATTGGTGGTAACCCTAAGAGAGTGACTTGCTTAGTGACTTGCTTAGGGTCACATAGTGAGTTCCTGGCATGATGACACAAGAATTCAGTATTTTTTTACTCTCATATAAGATTTTTTTGGACAAAGTAACTCTTTCCACACAACATAGTTTATTTCTACAGTGTCCTGTGGGGCTGATATAAATAATA